GGAGATGCCGGTACCTGTGCAGAAGGACCAAGCTACGAGTTTTCAAGGCCCTGATACTGCCAGTTTTACTATATGGTAGTGAAACTTGGACGCTATCTTGTGCTTTGGAATCTCGTCTCGATGCCTTTTGTAACAGATCCCTGCGCCGGATCATGGGGTACAGTTGGCGGGACCATGTATCCAACCAACAGCTACACCGTGAGACCGGTACAGGACCTGTTACTTGCACAATCCGTGATCGCCAACTCAGGCTATATGGCCACTTGGCTCGACTCCCGCAGGATGATCCTGCCCATCAGGTTGTCTCTGTTCGAGACAACCCTGGGTGGAGGAGGCCTGTGGGACGCCCAAGAAGGTCATGGCTTGGGCAGATCGATCAAACCTGTCGTGAGGAACTAGAGATGGGCGGGCTCCTGCCTGGCGACTCGCCATGAGAGACCCTCGCAGGTGGAAACGAAGGGTGGACGCGGCTATGCGCCCCTACCGGCGTTAGCCCCTCAATGATGATGATGATATTCTATATACATACAAGTACAGGTATATATGTATATTTGTATATACATATATACCTATGCTGTGTCTTGTGCCTCCTGTGATAAGCAGTATTTTGGCTAGACAGGCGTCTCACTAAGCGTCTGTCTCAACACAAGTACGCTGTATCCAGGGGACACAACAACAACGCCCTCTTTTGCCATTAGTGGGACACAGGCCATCAGATAGGCTGGTCAGCGGCGCGAATTGTCTTTCCTTCCTCTGATGTCCACGTCCTTCTAATTTCAACCTGAAGTTATCTTTATTATTCGAATGATATAACCAAATCCATTTCTACTCTCCCCATTTTACAGACAGTAAGACACAGTGAGTGGCAGCTGATCCACACGGCGCTGAGGCCCATGCTCGACGAATGGAAGGCTCCCCGAGGATATGTTAGGAAGAAAGGAATGTACAAAACGAAAAGAGGTATTAATGAGAAAAAAGCGGCCAAATGAGAAAGACCAAGAAGGAAAATGGAGGCAGGAGAGACCCAGGGAAGGAAGAGACGCCCAGGTAAGACCGACTGTCCCCGAGGCCCTCTATCTCTTCTCCCGCCTCGCTCCGGACTATGACTGCAAGAAGAGATACGTTGGCTACACGTGCACGCAGGCGATTGTCACCACCATCCCCAAAGTCCTTAAGGATGTGGGTTGTGAAGGCACAAGGATCGTCGTGGGATTTTCTAAGGTAGGTTAATAGATAAGGTGGGTGATGAAAAATAGTCATCTACTGGGCAGGTGTCTCTATTCGCTACGACTTTCGATCACTTTCAATGAGGAAACAGTCCCTGGTAACTCGTCCATCAGATTGTACTTATTCTCATATTTTCTTAAAAAAAAAAACAAAAGAAAAACTGTGATGTTCATAGACACATATTTACTGATTTTGTTGAATCAATACCTTTCGTAAGTTGATTTCGTAAATCTGTGACACGAAATATTGTAAAATAAGACATATCCACTAACCCATGGAATAACTTCTTTTCAAGTAGGTATATAGATATTAAAAAAAAGTAAAATAGTAAAAAAGTAGTAAAAAAATATATATTCCACACACACACATATACTGTGTGTATGTACGCATTCCGTGCAGCAGTAGTTGAGTTGCCAGTTGATGTATTTTTAGACGAAAGACCGTCGATAGAGACTTCTTCAAATTGGGTAAACAGACGATTGATGAATCTCTCCTCTCCTCTCTTTC